GCTGCCTGAGGCCCTGCCGCTCACCAGGGCGCTCAGCCAGGCCCTGCACGCTCATGCTGCAGGCCCGTTCCCCTTCCCCACCGCTCCCTTCCTAGTGCCCTCCATTCCCTGCAGTGTCCGTGGGTGCCCCCCCCCCGCCGTTCTCTCTCTCCATCCACCTGAAACCCTCCTATCCCCCTCCCAGCCCCACCTGGATGACATCTTACATTCTTCCTTCCTCCCTCACGTCTGTCTCCTAGCAACCCCATCTCATTCCCTGAATCCTTTCCAAGGAAATTAGAGATAATGGATCTCTCCTCTCTCCATCTCAACCCCTCTTTATTGATCCTCCTTTAATGAAAGTTAATTATAACAATGATTTAATTAATAGAATCCCTCTCTTCCTTTATTGCTTCCCGTATTAAGACTATTAATAAATACGAGCTGGGCTGACAGAGGCATCCATCACCCGCCTGGGAATCCCCCCATCCCTCCTTTTACCCTCCCCCCTCCCCCCCTTTGGCCTATAAACTTGCCGGGGTAGTGGGGGTTAATCAGAGAGGAATTATGAGCCAACATCCCCAGCAGGAGGTGCATTTAATGAAATCACTTGTGATTTATGTCTGGGGGAGGTTGGGGAAGGAAGACTCCGGGACCCAAACATTCTGCCTTCCCTAGAGTGGCCCTCTAGTGTAAACGAGGAGGAAGGGAGACAGAAGGAGGGACCCAGACCTCTGCTCGCACCTCACAGCCCCTGCCAAGCCCCATACACACCCACAGGAGACGCATGGCTGGTGACACAGGCCACTGACACGGGCATCAGGCTGAAAGCGCTTCTGACTGCGATACAGTACACGTTTTGCACTTTCCCTCCTCCAAGTCTTCATATGGGTCCTTCTCACCTCATTTTCTCCCCAACCCTGTTCTGCTTCACCTTCCCAATCCTGCACCACACTCCTCCAGGAAGTTCTCCAGCCCCTCCCCAGACCTGGATGGAGATCTAGTTCCTGCTGCTCCTTTCTCCGCCCTCGTGTGCTTTTCTGGTGTGCAATTTGTGTTTTCAGACTGAGTTTCACACAGGTTGGAGTCATGTCCTCACTCATGACTTGCATAACTCAGGCATGGCCCTGCCAAAGAGGGGGCTCAGGGAAGGGCAGGTCACAGGCAAGGAGGGAAGACAGCTGGCTTCTCATTGGCGCTCTGTCTCCTCACTGGTGTTTGGCAGCTCAGCCTTCCTATCTGCCATTTCCTCTGTAGTGGGCCCTCCCTTTCCGCCCCTGCTTCCCAGCATCCATGCTTAAGCTGGTAGACCTGAATGGGCTTAAGACTCATGTGAAGGCAACAGTCAGAACACGTAGCAGCAAATCACAACTCATGTCAGTGTTTGATGGTAGAAGAATGAGTCCAAGCGCATGACTCCCCTCTTACAGAAGCTCCGTGACTGCCTGTTACCTCCAGGACCGTGAAGGGAAGATCGCTTCGTATGTCAGTCAGGGCTTCACCCTCTGGTCCCAACTTCCCTTTCCATTTCTCACCCAACCTGAGGAGCCCTGTACTCAGTATGACAGAAAACCCCACAGAAGTGCACACCACTTTTGCATGCTGAGAGCTCATACTTCCTCTAAGCTTAAAGGATACCTCCTCCATGCAGTCTTATTTGACTTCCCTCAGTTTTCCACCAAGGTTCCACATTTAGCACTTTTTAAAAACGTGCTACATCATGTGTACCAGTTCTTCTCCCTAGACATAAGTAACTTGAGTGTAGGTTCTGTGTTCATATATGTCTTTGTTCCTAAAAACTAGAACAGAGGGGCCAGCAGATGGCATGGTGGTTAAGGCGCTGGACACTCCCACATAGTCGACCGCCCTTCAAGTCCTGGACCTGGTGACTTGCTTTCTCACTTTCCTTCTCTCTATGTGTCTGTCCTTCTCAGGTCAAATGAAGATAAATGAATGAATAAATAAAATTACATAAATAATTACTTTTTAAAGAAAAGCTAGAATAGAGACTGACATGTAGTATAGTCCTCCAAAAACAATTTTAAAGTTTTTTTTTTGGAGAGATTTTTGCTGTAGGGCACATGTGCTTGCCAGACAGACAGACAGAGACATTAGAGACAGAGAGCGAGAAATCACCCCCCAGGGGGGATGGTCACAGTGCAGTCCCTTCTCCTCCATTCTCCTCTCGGGATCTTGGGCACGCACGCACACGTGCTCGGCGTGAGTTTTAAGCCACCAGGTCCAGGACGCAAACCACAGTCGACTATGTGGGAGTCCAGCGACATAGCCATTACGCTAACTGCTGGTTCCTTTTTTTTTTTTTTTTTTTTTGAGAGGGTTTTGCTATAGGGTGTGTGCACTCGCCAGAAAGACAGAGACAGAGAAACAGAAAACGAGAAATCACCCCTCAGAGGGATGACCACGCTGCAGTCCCTTCTCCATTCTCTTCTCAGGATCTTGGGCACGCACGCACACACACGCGCCCAGCATGAGTTTAAGCCACCAGATCTGGGACTCAAACCGTGGGCGACTACATGGAAGTCCAACAATGTAGCCATTATGCCATCTGCTGGTCCCTAATTTTAAAGTTATTTCAACAAAATATTTCTTTTTTTTTTTTTTGAGAGGTTTTTCGCTATAGGGCGCGTGCGCTCACCAGACAGAGAGAGACATAGAGACAGAAAGCAAGAAATCACCCCCCAGGGGGGATGGCCACGCCTCAATCCCTTCTCCATTGTCCTCTCAGGATCTTGGGGACGCACACACACTCACCCGGCGTTTTTTTTAAGCCACCAGGTCTGGGATGCAAACCGCGGACAGCTACGTAGGAGTCCAGCGACATAGCCATTACACTAACTGCTGGTTTTCAAACAAAATATTTCTTACATACAAAATAATGTACAAAGGGTCTTAAGAAAGTTTTTGTGGAAAATAGGTGTTATGAAAAAACTATGCATGGTTGGGGCCAGCAGGTGGCATGGTGGTTAAGGGTGCTGGACTCCTACATGGCCAACAGTGGTTCGAGTCTCAGACATGGCAGGTTGTTTTCTCACTTTTCCTCTCTGTCGCTCTCTGTCTCTCTCTGGTCAAGTTAAACAAACAAATAAATAAAAGTTCAATAAAATAATTCTTTTAAAATACTATGCATGGATTTTTTTAAAAGTTTTGCATCAAAATAAAGGACTTAAATTCCATTTTTTTCCATAAACTTTTAAGTCCTCTAAATGCATTTTAAAAAAAGTGAACATCACTGGATTTACTAACCAGCTTTTAATAATAAAATATTACTAATACCATTGAAGTGCCCTGGGTGTCTCAAGAGAAAATTTGTTATCAGCTGGGCTAGAGATGTTTCATCTATTAATTCCAGAAACTATGTGGCCTGCCCTTTATGGGTCAAGTACAGGGGAATAGAGATGGTATAGTCAGAAACTCTGCCCTTGTGCTGGCCCCATAGCCTAGTGGTTAAGGGAGCTAGATCCCACATGGCCAGTAGTGATTGGAATCCTGGCTCCTACAGCTTGGAAAACATGTAGGGTGCATGGATGTGCATGCCCAAAATCCAGATGACATGATGAAATGGAAGAGAAGGGATTGTAGCATAACCATGCCCCATCAAAGGGTTCTCTGTCTCTCTCCTTGTTTGTCTCTCTGGTAAGTGCATTCACCTCTGGCAATTAAAACAAAAACAAAAGCACCTGCTCTCAAAGAGCTCCTGGTTGATGTAAAGCACCAAATGTAAGGAGGGTAAGTGCCCTTTCAGGGGACGTGCAGGATGCTATGGGGCCAGAGAGAAGAGTCCTTCACAAGGCCAGGGGAGAAAGAGCTTCCAGAGTGTGGGACTGTCATGAAGCATGAGTAGATGTGAGTCACGCAGGTGCAGGCTGAAGAAACAGAATGTGCACAGACATAAAACTCACTCCGGAGTCTAACCAGAAAGGCCCCATAATGCAGTAGCAGTTAGGCACTGCACAGAGAAAGCCTGATCCCACACAGTTAACCACCAGGTTTTACCCCTGGTCCCTGTGGCTTGAAAAATATGCTGGGTGTGCATGTGCCAACTCCTGCTGGGATAGAGAATGAGAAGAAAGGGAATTGTGGCGTGACCAGGCTTTGTCAGGGGTTGTGCTTTCTTTCTCACCCTCTGACATCCAAAAAAAAAAAGACTGGCTCTGTGGCCTGGTGGTAAAGGTAACCAGATCCTCCATGACCAATGGCACTGTTCAAGTCCCAGACCTGGCAGCTTCAGAAAC